AGAACGTACAAATTCTAAAACCATGTTTTCACCATGGAACATCAAACATATGTAGTTGATCCCAAAGAGGATATGTCATGTGCACACTTATATTTGCATGAACAGAAGACACTCTCTAGTGGAGATTTTCATTGAAGAACTTCCAGACTCAAAATGTTGCTGGTTAACTTGCCATCAGAGAAACATAATACTGCTACCATACCTGTCCTTCAATATAGCAGTCACAATGGCTGCCCCGTGAATTGGTGGGTTTGAATACATAGGTCTGATCACAAGTTTCAGCTGGCTCTCAACCCGCTTCGCCACATCTGCTGTCTTGCACACCTATAAAATGGTCAACATTTTGAGCTTCTGATAAAACAACAGCCATGAGAGGAAGTCGTTACACAGACCCAGGGAAATCAATAAAGTTTTGCACGCAAATCTATGAAAACACTGATTACGAGAGTAACAGAAAAGTTTAATTAGTTAACAGAGTTTTTGAATACACAGACCAGGTCAAACTGATGGAAGTTTATTGCTAGAGCCTTACAATGCTAAGTGCCCCAACACGTTCTCCATAGAGTCCCATAATCTTTGAATAGGAGTGAGCTACAAGGCATTCACCACCATCTGTAACAAACATTCGAACAGACTGCACATCCATATCCAAACTTCCACTTACAATGCCCTAGAAGAGTGAAATCCTGTAGTTAAAAAAACAAAGGAACAGGAAGTATATGAAGAATAGTTGGAGATTTGAGCTTCAATGTTTGTCTACCTGGTAGGCATTATCAAAGAAAGGTAGCAGTCCTTTTGATCTCACCAACTGTCTAATCTGCTCCCACTGATGAAGAGTTGGATCAACACCAGTAGGGTTATGACTGCATACTTGGAAAAGCACAATGGCTCCAGAAGGTGCAGAACCAAGGTCATCCAGCATTCCTACCCAGTAAAAAAACAACGAAAAGTTGAAGCCAAAAACAAACGAATGACCATATCTGACACCAGTCTCTTTTGTGAGGGCCATAATTGCAGCTTTATTATATATCATTCTTTTTTAAAAGGCAACAGATCATTAGATATGAACAAACTATTGCAACAAAAGATTTATAGTTAGGAAAAGCATAAGATTTAAAATCAATCTAGATTATGGTAGCTTTAGTCATTTAGAGAATAGAACAGTTGAGAAATAAAGCTTAACATTGTTCACAAGAAATATCATTCAAGGTGACATAAATTGATGGGCAAAAGAGGTAGAAGGCAAGAAGTTCTGCAAAAGAAGCAACAAAATTCCTAAACTAAACAAACCTTGGAAGTCCAGCCCTCGTGTTATTGGGTCATAGTAACGGTAAGTTTTCAAAGTTAGACCAGCTGCTAAGAAAAAATTTGGATGGTTTCCATATGTTGGCTGGGAAAGATAGACTGTGTGCTGCAGATATTAGAAAAAAAAATTGTCACAGACATGCGATGATCATAATAGTCGATAACGGGAAACATTAGCAAAAGAAACAGGACATTAATCTAAGTATGAGAAAAAGAAACAGGCAATTAAGATGGGCACTTTACTTGGTGGTAATGCTTTGCTAAAAAATCAGCTCCAGTCCTCAGTGAACCACAACCAGCCAAGCATTGGACTGTAGTCACTCTGTTCTCTTTCATAGCTGGGCTATTTACAGATTACAATAAGATGGAAGTATCAATAAAAGGCAGCTCTATTCCTATAAAGCAGAGTTTTAGTCGCAACCAACTTGTAAAATAACACAAGTAAACCAGCTACCATGATTACATCATAATAGAAGTTTGTAGCAAGAAGCATTCAAATACACACACAACTTGGAAGCCATGAGACAACTTTTTAAGCTTTTGTCCCCAATTCACAAAAGTTAAGACATTTGGTTCCTTGCAATAAATCTAACACAACTGCATGCAGGTTGCAATTATTGTACCTGTCAGCACCGAAAACAAGCTGAGCACTCAGTTTATTAAATTCTTCCATTCCAGTAATGGGGAGATACTCCTTAGTAGCAGACCTGAATATCATAAAAACTTGAATTTCAACTGCATTATAAAGTTGAGTTTGCAATAATTAACAATAAAGTACCTTACAAATCATCAAGTAGTAGCTTCTCAACTCGTCTAACGACATTCAAAACATGAGGTTTTCCATCCTGTTATCACATCAATAAAGCCAACCCAAAATAAACCAATTTCGACAATATTAAACTACAATGGAAGCAAAAGGCACTCCTACACAGTTCAGCACTTTCACTAATTTATCAGCGCTAACTAATTTGCAATAAACGAGATTAACCTCCGTTCGGTAAACACCAATACCCAAATTCAGCTTAACTGGGCTAGGGTCCTTGCTATAAGCAACCATGACCTGTTCATTTATAACATATAAAAGGCATAAATGATCAAAAATACCAAAACCCACCAAGTTATAATTAACATTCTTTGAAAATTCCACACGATACTTAAATTTCTCTGTACAATTTAACTGTACAGCACAAGTAATTCCTAATCATCTATCATTCTCAGACAGTGCAAAGTTTCTGGTTAATAAAATGGCTGCATTCATCAAGAAATCATACTGTATACAAGTAGTTGAAAGAAAGAAATGAGAGTAAAGCAAGAAACAAAGACTCTGACTATAAAGACTAGTGACAAAAATGATGATCGAGTAAAAACCATGTGAAAATAGAAGAAAATATTACAGCATAAACTGGAACATCAGGAGCTCTAACAACATTTTCAAACACAGAGTCTCCATTGTAGTCCTTGCTTGTTGTCTCGTTGGTACTCAGAGATTCCATGGGATGAGACTTTCTGTTTTTGCTACTGCTTCTGCTTCTGCTACCGGTAGTCTTGGCTGTGTCCGTAGAGCTTGTCTGGTGTCACCTATAGACGAACCACCCTGGACGTCATTTATTGGATGACGTGTCGTCTGTCTTTAAAGTCTAATCACCTTGCTACCCCCCTTTTGTCGTCTATGGTCTCTGGAGTCAATCAATTACTATTATATTATTTGACAACCGGATTTGATTATCATTAACAAAAACTAACCGCAGACATATTTTGTTTTTATTAGTCCGGGCGTTTTGGTTTTTTAAATATTATTTTTTCGTTAATTTCATTGCCATAATGGATAGAATGATCTTTTTAAGTTAATTAATTCATTTTTTATTTTAAAAAAAAGTTAACACGTGTATATAAATGATGCATGCAGCATCTCTTAATATTCAAATCACCCTTTTATTATATTGTTGTAAGTGTTATTATGTTTTTTTTCTTGTGTCAAGGGTAATGATTAATTTGTTATTAATAATTATTTTTATTTTTTTATATAAAAAGTGCATCTTCATCATCTTTGCTTTTGATTTTTCAATTCCAACCCTTATTTTTTTAATTTTGATTTTTTTTCTTAGTTTTTTATAAAAAATTTATTTATTTTTAATTTAGTTCCTCATTTACAATTTATCATATATTTATTTTTACAATTTGATCCTTATTCATTTCATTTTTATTTTTTTGATTCTTTTATAAAAGTTTTATTGGTTTTCAATTGCATCCTTCAATCCACAATCCAACTTTATAATAATTTAATTTAATTTTAATTTGGTTCTATTTTTTTATTGTCCTTCTTATGTTAAAGTTTTTTTTTCAATTTAGCCTTTCTATCTAAATTTTTTTATTACTCTCTAATTTAATTTTTATTTTGATATTTACACTCATTCATTTAATTATAATTTTTTAGTTTATATGATTTTGTCTTATTAATTTTTGTTCGATCTCATCCCTTAATATTTGATTTGTTAGGGATTGAACTTCATCATTTTTTTAAAGTTATGAGTTTGAAGAATTAATATGAGTCAATATATATATTTTTACTTATTTTCTTTCCCAATTTCTTCATTCAATTTTTTTTTTTAAAAAAAAAACACTTCTATAAGGTTAGTCCAATCTTCATGAACAAGTTATGGGTTTCAAAAGTTAACATGATTTGATTTTGGTTTTTTTAGATCCTTGAATAGAATTGATTTATTTTCAATTTCATCTTTGAAATTTTAATTTTTTAAAAATTGATCCTCATGCTTTACTTTTTTACTTTCCTTTCTATTGGGTTATCTCATTTTTTTTTTTTCTGTAAGGTTTTCTTTTGTAAAGTAGCAGGTTAGCCTGATTTAACATAAATATTTTTTTGTTTTCATCACTCAATAATTTTTTTATTGATAATTTTGGTTTTTTGCTTTCCTTCACGTGTATATGTGTGTGTAATCAAGTGTTTTCCTTTTAGCTAGCTCTTCATCAAATATTAATTTATTTAATTAGATGTGTATAAGCTTTTCAATTTATGTTTGGAAATTTTTTTATATTAAAAAATACAGTGAAAGAACCTGTTTATTTATTTTTTATTGGATAAAAAAATATTTAACCTATGAGAATATGTAGGTAACATTGCTGGTGTTGTTTGAATTAGATATTTTTTTTGTTTATATTAACATTAGAAAACTTATAAAATATTTAACTTTTATAATTAAGTAAAGATTTGAATATCAATTATAGTTATTGAACTCATATCATTGGTGATCAAGCACTTTTCATAGAGTTTTATTTGAAATTATTTTTTAAATCAATCCAATTAAATATAGATGATTTATAAGTTAATTTATGATTTATTTGACCTAGTTAAATCTCATTTAAATTCAATTGAATCAAAAGTATTTTTATAAAAAAGTAAAAATAAAACCATATAATTTTAAATAAAAATAATTGATCTAAATTAACATGATGACATGCCTAGCAACCCAATGATCCATACCCTAAATCATTTGATACCTCAAACTGATTTAACAAATATCATCATGATAGGCAAATTTTAGAGTATATACACATCCTTAATCAACAATTGAATATAAAAAATTTTATTATCTATATTAGTTGCTAGATGATATGGTCGTAGAATTGAATAATTATTTTTGGAAGGTGAACATGGAAAAGGAAAGGAAACATGATGCTAGAAAAATATGGTGACGGGAACCTTTGTACTAGATTATTTAAAGTTGGTGTCCAAATTTATATGGAGAGACATGGAAGCAATTTTAGGAGCATCTTTACGCAATTTTTCTTGCCAGGCTTTCATTGAACCTACAAAATTTCTCCATACATTGTATCTTAAGCATTAGTACAATGTACAGAACTTGCGAAACCTTCTGTTGTGCTCAACTGAAAGAGGGTGGAAGGGAGATTAACAAACAGTGTATGTTCTCTGAAATCTCCGTCTGAGTAAGCTCTTAATACTTGACAAAAAGTTTCTGAGTGCATTTCCTCCTCCTAGAGGTAAACTAGTCCCAAATCCTCTGCAAGCATGTCCTGGTCTCTCTGCAAATCCAGGTGATTCTGCTGGCACTAGAAAGGATTGAATAAATACCGAGGTATCCACCTCAAGAAAGTGAGTTCTTGGCTCGCTACCTACTGCCCAAAGAATGGCAGAAAGTATAACGACACTGCTCTGCAAAATGATAACTACCACTATAAATTCTTGTGTCCTTCTCAGGAGAGAACAAACTAAATACTCTAATGACTAAAGTTCTGATGAACTATCAAGCCTCTAGTGTTAGAGTTACCTGAGCCACCAAAATCAAGATCGTGATTGCACGGCTTATCTTTACATTGGTCAATATAAACTTCTCAAAGTATGTGGTTTTTTTGCCCGTGTATGCAGAAATTTTCTGTAAAAGAAGACTAGGATAAATATGACATGAGAAGTACAGTCTTGTTCGAAAAATGTTTAAGAATTAAGTACACCATGGAAATTAAATTCATGAACAAGCAGCTTATGACCAGCATCTGGGCATCAAATGGATACTCGAAAGTAGGCTCAGGGATCATATAGATTGCGTATTAAATCAGACTTGATTTCAGACTATTCTGCAGAACAAGCCAAATGCTGTGTAAAGGGGATGTGGAAACCACACCTGTCCTTCCTAGCTTCAAGAAAATGCGAATTTAACAATAACTAAACCGTAGATGCTAATCTGTGTCTCAAAACGGTTGAGATAATCTTTGATCATATTACGGTCACATTACTAAGAGCATCTCATTTATATATTAATCAGATAACTTAGCGCAAGCATACCTTTCCCCAGTCCATCTTGAAGAAAATCGCGACGACCATGGTCGCCTCAAGGGAAAGAAGGCAGCAGATGGCAAAAATGTACTGAAGCTTAAGTCAAGGACGGAAATTATATGCAGCAGACTAAATGTTACAAGCAACATGCAGCCATAATGCATGGTGAGCTTGCTCTAGAATCACAGATAATGAGCTTATATTAAGGATGCCATGATCACTGGTTAAGCAGTCGTCGAAAATGACAAGGCTTGACATACTTCAGAGGCTCTTTTGTTCTTTCTAGTTATGTTAAAGATAAGCAGAAAGGATACGAAAAAAAGAGTAGAATTGCTGATGCAATTAGCTATAATATGACCACCAACAGTGCTTAAGCAGACAACAATTCCCACTCCTAAAAATGTGAATATAAACCTGAAACCAGGAAAAAAAAAAAAAAAACAAAACTCGTTAGAATTCCGAGGAGCCATTCCTTGGATCTCTTGAATCAACCATGAATTGATATATTCCTTCCTCTATGAATGATATAATCTCAATTCATCGAAAAGGAAAAGGATTCCATGAAGTGATTGATGTTTGAAGGAACGTGTGTGTAATTGGGAAGAATAAGAGGGGACAGGAAACATACCATGGTGTTAGAGGAGATTGCCTATGAGGGAACTTAGCAATACCTTGATCCCATTTCTTTTCCAGCCAAAGTGAGTATATGATGATTCCAGTCCCACACAAGAGCATCATCAAGTTGACGATCCTGATTGAGTTGCGCAAGCAACACCTTGCACACTTTGTCATTTCTGGTATCGAATCTACCTGTGTTGAGTAGCTATCATGACCAATATTGGTAGGCAGAAGAATAATAAGCTCCTCTCAGCTTATTTCCCATTTGAAACTCAGTGCCGCCATGCTCTGCTGAATTGGTGTGGAAAGGGAGCGGGGGTTGGTGGTCCGTAAGCATGTGCGAAGAGTGGGTTCTACTGATATTGTTTTGGTGGTTAATAGACACACAGTGGGTGTTCCTGGTGTGATGTTTTGCATGCAAGAGGGTGGGAATTGCACTTCCTTTGAAAGGTAGGTGAGAGCTGCACATCAAGATCAGAAAGCACCAAGACGAAGGCGAACCAAACAGTCAAGTGTGCATGGAGCGCCATCAAAAAACACCGAGTCCACTACGCTTTTCTTTCAAGGTTCGGAAAAATCAGTACCACAATCTGTCAAAACAATAAAATGCGAAAAATAAATAAATAAATAAATAAAATGCGACGTTTGATGTCCCAACACCCGTACGGAACACACAAGGGCCAGTAGAATTTAGAAAGGGATGGCTTCCTGTGCAGCACAAAATCAAGAAGCAGAGAAGACAGCCCACATATTGAAAACGGGATGCCTCGCAGGTGGTCCTGGTACATTATAGAATGTTCGTGACTCGACGTTGATTGGAGTTTTTTCGAAAGAAACCTAATTGGATTTTTTTGAACAAAGCCTAGCATGTCTCATGAATAGATCTGCACCATTGAAACCATGAACATGTCCTCGTACACGAAGAACAGCCTCTTCCTCCGTTAATGATGACATTCCTAGATGCCCAGCCATCCCAACTTCATCAAGTCCAGAATAACATGTTGAGAGCAAATTGTTGGCAACAATACACCCAACCTCTCGTATAAAAAAGGTAACCTAATATATAACAAAATAATATATCATTATCTATAATATATGAACAAAATATTTATTAAATGTTCCAAAAACATTATGCTCATAATTCATCAATGAATGCTTTAGAATATGCTCCATGCCGCCATGTCATATTGATATCTAAATCAGTGAGGGAGGGAGAGATCTCACACTGAAGAGGGATGTCGAGAAAGGGAGGGTGAGAGCGGCGCAGGGGAGAAGCAAGGGGAAAAGGGCAGTCCGTCTTTTAATTCGATGGTAACGCATGTGCATCTCAGTGTCTTAATTTTATAAAAAAAAGTTTCAGCTGTGATAGCTAAAATTAGATTGCCCTCCTCAAGTTCTTGACGACAAGAAGACAGGCTTACTTGCAAGGGCGGCGTTACCTCGTTCTTGATTCTAACAAATTGGCGGTACACATGATCAAGCAATCACATCCTAGCAGAGTCCTCGCAGGAGAAGAAACAGTACAGTGGTGCAATAGACAGTATTGGCATGTAGTTATAATTTTTTTAAAATATTTTTTATTTAAAAATATATTAAAATAATATTTTTTATTTTTAAAAAATTATTTTTTATACCAGTACATTAAAATAATTTAAAAATACAAAAAAAAATAAAAAAAAAATTCAAGACCACAGAAGCCTCACTTATGCCCACAATTGTTGTTTCCATTACAGCACCTGGTACTGGTTCATCTTTCCGGCCATTTAATTAACGGCCTAAACTGCTGGTAGTCCTGAGAAGCCAGCATCCCATTCTAATAGATAATAGTAATGAACAAGCTAGTCATCCTCCTATAACAGTTAGCAGCATTGGACATGAGAGTCATCGCTCCTGGAAAAGATAAAAAGAAAACGACTACCTTTGAAAAGAAAATAGCTGCTTGTTAAACTTGCTAGACAACTCGGATTTAACATGATGCTGTTCGTTGGGGTTAAAGAACGTAGGGGCTACGCACTAGTCTAATTCATGATGTACATACACTATGCTATTCATGGTAGAAGCATAAACCATTCCAAGTACAATAATAAAGCCCCTTGTATATTTCATGAATTGTGAGAATGACATGGCGACAAAATTTTTAAGGATCCCGAAAGCCAATTTCTCTCTTCTTTTCAGGGGTGGCAGACACAGAACTAACACAGTTGCACTGATTCAAAATTTTAAAATAAATAAAACTGAAAAAATGCCAATAGATAACAACATCTCAGCCAAACAAAGAGAATCTAGATGCAAGTTCTGGCAATACAAAATTCTAAGTTACAGGCCTCATTCCAGCTTTATCCGATCCATGTCATTTATCACCCCTTCAAACTGTATCATAAAGGAAAAGAAAACAAATCATGACAGGCGAAGTTAAGCACTGTTGTGAAAATAGGAACACTAGCAAATAAGAAAATGAGTATATACCTTGACAATTTGCCGCAAAAAGTAATCGCCATATCGCTTCACTGGTTTGGTGTCAACAACATGAATCATGTCCTGCAGTGGTAAAGCATTATTTGAGAACAAAAGAACAGAAATTTTTCAATAAATACTGCCTACTACTTCTTGCCTTTCCATAGTATATCTTGGAAGTATTTTAACTTGCATTGCTTAGTTGGATGTAATCAGCACATGCACACATCAAACACGAGTACATAAATGTATGGCTTATGGTGTGGACACCACAACTCGACAACAGCTATGATGGCAAAGAATTGGTTCTTGCCATAGTCAATTATATCATGGGAACCATGATTCTGTGCTATGATGATAAAGAATTGGTTGTTGCCATGGTAAATTTTCTCATGAATTGCTGAAAGGCTCAGTGATTTGTTTATTCAACATTGTGAGTAAAATCAACAAGTCTAGCTAGTTGCAATGGTCCAAAGAGACTATTAAAACTCCAAGAACATGCTAATATGTCAATTTAACATCATATTAAATTCCATGCACAACTTAAAAAAAGATCAACAACAGTCACATGCAAAAACACATACCTCATCGATGTAGAAATCCACATCAGCATTAGATATAATCTTTCCCTCGGAATCAACAGCATGAGTCTTGTGCTTGTATGTCATCAGGATAGTCCTGTAAGATGTAACAGCAGCATGTTCAAGACATCATTTCCAATCATTAAAGGTTTAAATGAAATAAGCCTAAGGAACAAAAACCTCACCTTAAAGTTGGTTCATCCACTTCCATGTAATTAGCAAGCTTCCCAAGGGATATAGTAGAATACACTTTTAGGAAGGTTCGAACACCTGACAACAATTGTTGCTGTTTTACTTCGTAAAGAAACAGTTTCAGTTGCAGTCTGTAAGCATCCTGCAGACATAAACAGCAATTTGTAAATATCATATGCATACAGAGGCACAGAGGGTTTAAGGTTGAGGGCCAAGCAGGTCAACTGCAAAAATGCTTGGTTCAGCCTACATCAAAACAGATAGAATGTCACTTCCTTGATATGCAGACATTACCTTTTAAGAGAATAAATTAAGAGGGAATCCTAATTGCCCAATCCAGATAACTCACAAAGGGTACAGCTGTGTCTAAACCATATGGAATTTATAAGTGGTATCTTTCTCCATATAAAACATATGGCAACATGAGTCAGATGATATTATTAAAAATACTTGTAGGAGAAAAATATGCTGCTTTAGCTTGGTGTGGCCACTGTCGCTGATATTTTCTTCCCTTCTACTCCTATTTCTGGCATTAAGAAAATTCTAAGTATCCACTTTGATATTATGTTAGCATATGCATCACTATAACAAATTTATTTTAATAACATACAGCATACCTCAACTTCTGTGAAAGCATGTATCTATAATTTAATTCGCAAGTGATTTCCATATAGGTTCGATGCTCAATGACAAGAGCACCAACAAATATGTGCGCTGTTCAAACATTTCCTGGTAGCTCTGTTCATGTAAAATGTGAAAGCATACCTGGTTGTAGTTTACAAGAGGTTCTTCAAAACTTGGAGCTGATGGAGTAATGAACTTAGGGCATGCATAAGAGAAGAGTTCATCGTAGAGAGAAAATGCCTCGTCATCATATCTTTGCATTCTAGCCATCTTTTCACCATACTTCTCCCTTAATTGTGCATTGACTGTCTCATCCACAAGCTTCACTTGTGGGCAAAGTGACAGACAAATTGCCAGCAAAGCATACATCTGCTCATTCTTCTTTAATATCTGCTCATACTGTGGAGATTTCTGATGATACTGCTTGGTCTTGTATATGTACAGGAGAATTTTATTGAATTCACGAATAGCATCCACATACCTATAAAAAGAAACAAAAAAGAGACATTAAAAGGACAGCCAAAAAAAAGGTTTCATTCAGGTAAAGCCCAGAACAATATTATACATGCAAACTAACAAACAAGAAGAAACAATGGGACTAACAGAGATTAGATATTTTTACCCTTGGGTTGGAATGAGAATTGGGGAGTATGATTGAGAGTTTAGATATGGACTAAACAGGTTCACTTATTGTCTGGGAATACTCTAGTCTCTCTACTTCACATGGGTTTTTTTTCAAATGTAATTCATACAAACCTGAGAGTTACTGGCATGATAGACTCGAGCAAACTAGAACAACTCAAGGGAAATATAAGGATGGAGTCTTAAAACAAGAAAATGAAGAAAGAAAACAGATATATGCTGATGAAAAACCATAGTTAGAGCGTACCTCCTCAACATAAGATTGGCAAAACCATAATGGTATATTGTAGCGATGTGGCTTCCTATGACACTGGTATAGACACCCTGTTGACTAATGTCAATGGGAAGTAAGCACTTCAGGCCAGTATGATAGTCACCCAGGAGGCAATGAACTCGCAGCAAACCAACCATACTGAAATACCCCAAAACCTTCAAGACATTACTGCCACCACTATAATCATACCCATCAGTAGCAGTGAATTGTTCAATACCTTCCTTCTCCTGCTCCAGTATCTGAATGATACTCGACTTCTCCACCAGTGCTTGCAAGAAGTTCAGCACTCCATACACATTCCAAGCCTGTACATACACAGTCCTTTAATTCTAATACAATAATCCAAAATTAAATAAAAAAAACACACATGTAAAATAGCATGAGTCTAGTAATGATCACATTATAGCATCCATCAACATAAGCAACAGAAGGGTTCGTTCAGAATTCCGTGCACCCCATGTTTCCCAAAGCCAACATAAAGATGCAGTATTCCATCCAAGCAATAAAAATAACCTAAAAAACAACCTTCCTAGTTCTAATTTTTCCTCTTTTCTGTTATTGTCTCATCAATTTTTATGGGGTAAATTCCACTTTCTCATCTCTGTTGAAAAATTAAACAGCAATTTCCAACA